CAGAACAAAAATAAAGAAAGGCAAAAACGTATAGAAAACTGTAACTTATTTAACTCTTAATTGGATAAACTGTTAAAGATGTTAAATAAACAAATATATTTTTTTATTTGTTTGTAGTTTAAGTTAGTCCATTGTCCACATTTATATATTTTAGAATTGTTTTGGGTTTTAGGAAACTTATGAAAGTAGTATAGATTTTTATTTAATCTGTATCTATTAGTGATGGCTTGTGTTGATACTTATACTTGTCACAATTAGTGAGCCAATGCAGATTTCCTATGAGCTAGCTTTTATATACTGTGCTGACTTCATGAGTTTTTAGCTGAGGACTTTCTCAGTGTCCACTTAAAATTAATAATTTGTATATGAAAGTATGTATGCATGCATTTGCATAAGGAAATTTAAAATAGTGAGCTTATTTGCTTTAAAGTGGTTTATCATCCTTTAAAGGCATCCTAATAAACTGTTCTCCACAGGAATATAACAGGGGGAAGAGGCTTAAAGTAAAATAAGAACAGTAATTATTAGGCACAAACTAGGTCTCTGTAATTTTTTTAAATGTTGCTGTAAGTATGGAACTTATATTCAGTTATCTTTAAAAAATAGGACAAATTGATTTTTTTTCTCATAAAAGTAGAGATTCAAATTAACCAATTTGGATTTCTGCTTCTGGACAAAATGAAATAGTAGGAGCATTTCTGTGTTGAAATAACCATAAAAATGTACAAAGCACAGGAGGCACAAATCTTTTCAAGATACACAGCACAGGAGAGGTAAAGGGTGGCACACTAGATAGCAGCAAAGGAAAGTGGGGAGAATTGCAAAGATCTGCAAAGTTCACCAAGGCCATCCCTACAGCTTAACGAGTAATCTGTGCAGGTGAGGACACCTCATCAAGTTGGAGAAGAGCCACCTGACAGAATTATCAAAGAGACTCAGAGCTCAATCTTTTAGCTTCCTTCCAGATACAGCAGAGAGCTGGCGAAGGAATCAAAGGGATATTTTGTATATCCAAAAAAATAATCAGAGATTAAGTACTGATTTAGTTTCACTTAACGCCCCATGAAAGCAATATTCAAAAGATCAAACTGTTTCCATGTAAATCCCTTACCCCAGAACAAAGCTGAGAGTGTTCACAGGAACACAAAAATGTGCACCACACATAATGTTTAATAACAACACCTGGCATACAAGGCCAGCAAAAAAAAACATGGAATAAGACTCATACTATCCCCAAACACGAATTACTCAGAACCACAGCACAAATGATGATGACTTCAAAGTTATCTAAGAAAAATATTAGGACAGTGAGCTGTGCTTACAGATTTAGAACAAATAGATTCGTAGTACATAAAGATATGAAAGAAAAAAGAGAGAGATCTAGGTCAAACTTACATAAATAAAACTATGATGACTGGGATGGGGAGCACTTTGAGCCAAATCTACAGATCAAACATAATGGAGGAAAATCCTAATAAATTAAAGTCATAGAAAAATTACACCCAGACAGGAAATTAAAGTGAAACAATAAACTTACTAGTGGAGGAAGCTACTATCTTTCCAAATTGACGGTGTAAAATCCAGAGGAGGCTGCAGTGGAATGTAGAACTGAGAGCTCCTTCCACTTTTGGCTATCACTGATTATGATCCCTGTGACCCCCAGAGCCTGTTAAAACTATGCAATCTTGTTTCTTCTGATCCTTTGAGAATTATGCCCCATATTCCTGCTCTTCCTGCTGTTACTTGCTGACTAACCATCTACCAGAGGCTATATGTAGCATGCCTAAAGAGTTAATGTTTCCTGACTTTCGAGATCGTTAAAGCTGTGGAGCCAAGCATACAATGAATGTGTGCCTTTTTCATGCCAGCCACTGTGTTCCTTCTCTGGTTTTCTTTTATTTAATCTGCTTCCAAGATCTTGAAAATTCTCATTCCAAAGAAACGTGAATTTAGCCTCTCCAAACTTTCATAAACTTCAACATCTGCCCCAATCAATGCACACAGAGAAAATTAGTCTCCATCTAAGTGGACTGATCTTTAGGAGGCAATGAGAAGTATGAGGTGTGTTCATTTGTTTTCTGTCCCCACTGTGGGGACAGAGGTAGCAACATTTCTCCTCCTTTGATATAGGACACAATTTTTCTATACAAGTACTTAAAAATATAGTACATCATAAGTAAATCTCTATTATTTACTGTATGAAACATATACTTATATATTCACTGAATGGCAAAAGGGATTTATCTCATTAACAGCAGTGCCCAGCTAATTATGCCACGGGTCTCCAATTGTGGATGTATCTATGGGCTTCTGGGAATCCAGGATATTCTTTACCCACTATGACAGCAGCATAACTTCTTGTTTAATTACTAATAAATTTAGAAAGCAAATACACATCACACATAGAGAAACACCCATCTGAGGATTTAACTTATCTCCAGTTTACATATTAGACGACTTTATGGAGCAAGAAAATAAGTACTGTTTGTTGTAATTTTGTTTTCTATATTAAAGATTCAGTTGGCCAGTTGGGAAAAAAAAGAAAATATCCTCCACTCCTAGTTGTGGAGCTATTGACAACCGGTGGCTGCTGTTAGAATGGGAGTCAGTTTTCTTTAGGGATGTATGTCCGGGAGGCCTACACAGGACCCTGTAGATCCTATATCCTTGTCTACACAGGGAGCACAAAGTGAATTCAGTAGCTTTCTAAACAGAGAATGTGGAGTTGAGACAAAATGAGGTTTTGAAGATAGAACACGTAATGGAAGGAAGAGCTTGTGGACTGGACATGATCATAATGCATAATATGCATCTATGAAATTCTCAAACAATGGACATGATTTCAAAAAGTCTTCAAGATCCAATGCAGGGAAGGTAAGGTATGATGTTGGTTAGCCATCTCTTTATTCAGTAAAGAGAATTGTAACCTGACTCACTCTATTTTTGGTTTAGCTAAGAATCATAAAATGTGTCTATAGTGTTTGCAGTATTAAAGGGATTTAAATAACTGTGACTGTTGAAATGCACACCCGAAACAGATGTAAACAACGTGACAGTGTGAATTTTTCCTGATGTCGCAAAAAGAAAAGACGCCTTAATAGATACTAAATCCAAATGAGTGCACCCTGAGAAATGTTTAGAATTTCTAATAAGAAAGATCAGCTCTGAGCTTTCTCGTGGCAAAGGAATGTTCTTCCTCAGTAAAAGAAGAACATTCTTTGCCCTCATACTGAAATTTACCATAGTTATCTGTGAAAAACGTCTACAACCAAAGCTCAGTGCTGCCAACACTGGATTGCTGTGCTTCAGATCAACCTTATAATCAAGTCTGCTGAGGACTTCCAAATGGATAATGACCCAAACTTTACACACATTTTATCATTATTACTATTAGTAGTAGTAAAAACTGAAAGCTACTGGTGAGCTTGTTTGAAATGTGCTGTTTTTGTTTTTGTGGGTTTTTGTTTTGTTTTGTTGTTTTTGTTTCTGTTTTTTGAGACAGTGTTTCTCTGTGTAGCCTTGGCTGTCCTGGGCTTTTTTGGTTTGTTTGATTGGGGTTTGTTTTGTTTTGCTTTTTTGTACACCAGGATGGCCTTGAATGCACAGCAATTTGCCTGTCTTTGCCTCCTTAAGTGCTGGGATTAAAGGCATGTGCTACCTCGCCCAACTATGTGCTGGTATTTTTAAGTGAAAGAATTCAAGCTTAAAAAAGTTGCATCTGAGAATATAATGATAAAATAGTAGACAGTGTACACTTTTTGGTTAAATTTTTTCTGGCCAAAAATGTTGGCTGTTATTGATTCCAGAAGGTAAAATTGAAATATGGGGGTAAAAAACCTATCCAAGGCCTATTATTTTCCTACTCCAACAGGTGCCACTACAGGCATGTTCGCCCGACACGTGAGGTAAGCAAGCACTGCCCTGATCAGAAACTCATCAAGAAACAGTAAGAGGCCATTTATCTAAATGCCTTGGCCTAGGCTGACTTGTAGTGACCGGGAAGAAGTAACAAAGCTATAACTATGATTCTGTTTGGCAGAATAGACTGGGAATTTCCAGTTCCTTTCCAACTGTACACTATGCCTCTAAATGACTGACAGGAAGAAGAAACTAAATTCTCTTTATCTGTTAATCAATCGGGAAAACATGATTTGTGTAAAAATATGTTGTGTATAAGAAGAAACTCTTTGTAAATTTACAGGGAGACTGGCTACAAATGTACCACCAGTTTTATTTATCACCAGTTTTATTTACAATACAATTAACTCACAGAGGCAAGTATCCAAAGAGATGTGGCTTTCTTTGTAAATAGCATCTATCAAAAGGTGTATGCTAACACCTTAAGTTTCATTCTAATAAAAGGTAGAACAGTGACACATGCTTTTTGGGTGTGGAACTCTGTAAAAATTAGTAGGTATTTTCAGGTCACCATCCTCACTGGGAAAGATAGACTTGAACAGTGTCTAATTTAGGCTTCCTGGAAGTGGCGTGGATTTTTCAAGTTAGGTTAGCTCTCCAAAAAAGCATTAGATGTCTCAGATCAACTTCCTCAATATTTATCACCTCTCCAATGTGTTTTTAATACTTTAAACATTCAGATATATTTAATTTTATTTTATTCGTAAGTGGTTTTATGTAAATTTTCATCAATTATACAGAGGCATTAGTGGTTTTTTGGCAGTAACTCTAAGAAACTGTTAAGACTGTTAAAGGAAAATTGCTTCTAATGAGAAACTGAGCGAGGAGGACCAGATTGACTTTGAAATGACAGTCATTTAAAGACGTGACACTAATCACCTGTCTTTTACGAGTTAGTGGGAGAACTGCTTAGTTGGCAGCTGAGTGACATTCTAATAAGGTGCCAGGGGGACAGGCTCTACAGGGAACCAACACCCAGCACCCAAGGTATATAAAGAAGTCTAGCCTGCAACAAACATGCTTCAGCAGCGTGTTCTCTGCGGTTTGACCGAGGCCTAGTTGTCTATTTTCCTACTGCTATCATGTCTAATAACTTCTGCTCAGAAGTCCACAGCTCTTCTCTTAGGAACTCTAGTCCTGTTCCTGTCACCTCACCCAGCGGGCTCTGCTCCACTGAGATGAGGTGTGGAGATGCCCCTTGCTCTCCTACCAGCAGCCTGGGCAACAACACACCACGTGACAACTGCCAGGAGCCCTGCGGTGAACACAGCAGCTGCCAGTCAACCAGCTGCAATAGGAGCTCTGAATGCCCTGCGGTCTGCGATCCGGTTACATCAGGGATGTCTGGATCCCAGGAAGGATCTAGCTGTCTTCCCGTCACATCCCGCAGTCCCAGCTTTGGCCGTCCGACATACTGTAGACAGCCTCTGAGCGGCTACGTGCCCAGTTACCTGTCCTATGGCTGTCAACCCTTCGGCTATCTGACCTATGGCCGTCCGCCACTGCGAGGCCAGGCCTATGGGTGCCAGCCTTTCAGCTGCATACCCGACTGCTACCGGCCCCCAAGCTACACATATGGCAGCTTTCAACCATACTCCTCTTCTCGGCGTTATGCTTACGAAAGAAAATGGTGAAGAGCTGAAGCAACTTGATGCTCCTGGCTTTGAGAAAGATCAGCCAGCATCAGAGGGAGGGCTCCCGTTCGTAGGGGCTGCACCGTGTATGCCCATCCTATTGTAAGTCTCTTCACCTGAACTCGGTGCTTTTGAGATGTGGATCGCTTTAGTATTTTTTGGCAAAGCTTGAGATTGTTCTATTTCCGTAAAATTCCCCCCCCCCCCCCGTTTTCATTAAAATTAAATCACGGCTTCGCAAACAGATCCTGCTTCTCATGTGTCATCATTTATATAGACTTGATTTGCCACTAGTTTTCTCCTTAGAAACTACCAGCATCAGCTACTTCAGGTGACACTGATGATCCTTTGAGATTAACCATGAATTATTAAATATCTCCAGAAGTCATTTTAATGATTTATGTAAAAATATTTTAAATATTTAAAAATATATCTATTAAAATTATGAAAGTAAGGGTCAGCAAATATCTATCTATCTATCTATCTATCTATCTATCTATCTATCTATCTATCTATCTATATTTTTTAAGTCCAGAGAAAAGCGAATGTAGAATCTGTAGAATATGCAACAATCTCACATGGGACTAAGCTGAGAGAGAATTAAGGGATAAAAGAAAAGAAAGGAAACAGAATGCTCGCGCACTAACACATTACATCTAGGTTTTGACGAATGTGAACATTACAGTCTTCTGCAAGGCCCATGTACCTAATGCTCTTGCTTTTCCTTAACGTCTCAGATAGATTCAGTTTCATTTTCAAGGTGTACAGTACGGCAGATAATAGTTCTCTTGACTGTAATAACAGTTTATCAACTTCGGATTTCTCAGGTGTTCATTTCGACCTGAACCTTTTACCTTTTTCTGAAGTATCAAGGTGGTAACTGTAACCAGGTTTTTATCATTATCAGCATGCATTTTCTTTACTATCAAGATCATAGAGTATATTGTACTGCAACTAAAAGACCGTCATTATAGTTTTGACAAGCAAGAAGGCCTGAATTTAAAACTTTTAAGCAAATTGTTTGTTATATCTTTCTACGTATCTGTCTATGTGTCTACCTATCTTTATACTTAAGATATGTGTAAATATATTAAATAGTGATAGTATATAGATATATAGACGGTAGATAGGTGGATAGCTTCAGGATGTATTTAAAAATCAATGTCATGTTCATTTTGGTTTAGTATAATTATTTAATTTTCAAATATTTAAGATAAGCTCTTATACTAGGTTCTAAGAAAAATTATAGAAAAATAATGTGACATTAAAACCTCACATTACATATTTCTGGTGCATAACCATTAGATTTTTAATTTTATTTTTAGTTATTGTTTTGTGTGCACCTGTCTGGGGGGTCTTCTGGTTTGTGTATGGTGCCTATGGAGACCATAGAGAATATAGGATTCCCTGAAGCTGGAATTACAGGAGGTTGTGATTTGCCTGTCATGGTGCTTTGAACCAAACTCAGGTCCTCCACATGAATAGCAAGTACTCCTAATCACTGAACCATCTCTCCAGTTCCTCAGATTTCTAGTGTGTAACACTTGATTGACAGGAGCCTTAATCTGTATCATGTTGAGAAGCAGTTACTTCTGCATTACGGATGAAGAAATAGGTTTAATGAGATGAATCCCCAGTCATAAGATCATTGCTAGTTCCTGAAAGAATCTCATTTTCAATTCAAAACAATTTGTTGATATTATAATATGCAGCTGAATTGTAATACCCCTCTATTAACATAAGCAGATATACCAGTGGATATTGATTAGCCTTCCAAGAATTGTTTTAAATGAGTAAATATTAAAGAGTAGCAAGAATGAAAATTGAAACTTAAGTGGGTGACACCTGTCTACATGAACAAAACACATGTTTTGCCACTGCAGAAAATGACTCACAAATTTTATAATCCACTCATTGGAAACACTCTGCATTTATAACTACAAACTAGCAGCTGATACAGGGAAACACATCTGCTTCATAAGCAAAAAAAACGTGGATCTTGTCACTGTGAATTAACTCAAGTTTTGGAAAAATTGTTTTATAAAGTTGTAGTAACGGGGTATAAGATTCAGTCATCAAACTCTCTACACTCAAGCCATCTAAAGTGCTCACTCAGGTCAACTAGTTTAGGGTTAAGTTGCATGTATTTATACAGTGTTGAAGGAATGCTTAATAGGAAGTTTCTCAACCAGTTACGTTGACACATGCCTGTGATCACAGAACTTGGGACGCTGAGCATGAGATATTTTAGGCTGAGACAAGCCTGAGATACACAGCAAGATCCTGTTGAGGGAAGAAGAGAAAGACATGGAAAACAAGGTGTCCATTATCAGTGCCATGTGTAAACAATTCTGGATGAGTAGCATGTACTCGTTATTAGGCATTATGAGGGGGAAATTTGAGTTTATTTATAGAGAGTATAAAAGTTAAGCAGAGGAGCTACAAAAAGGCAGGAAATTGACCACTGACTGAAAAACATCTTGATAAATTCAAAAGACAGGGCAGATGATTAGCTGGATACAGTACTGGGTGTCAAGGATGGTGAGAAGAGGTTGTAGAAGTTGATTAGCAATAAAACATTAAAGATCAGTATAAACAAAGAAAAGCATAAAGGAAAGAATTTGTTCTTTGTGCAAGGAACACACTGAAATGGTAAACAGAATCTTGCAAGCAGGCTGTGTAGTTGCGAGACCAAGTGTGTATGGTGGGTTTCCAATGAGTATGACGGGAGGTAAGAGGCATGGTAGACATTGTTCAGAAGACTGTTAGTGTTTGTTTATTATTCATGAGCAGTAAAGAGAAATGCAAGAATCAACATGGACACTGATGTTTAGCTTGAGAACCTAGCTAAATAATTTTCTACTCATTAAGACAGGGGAAATACAGTTTGGCAAGTCTAATAAATAAAACAAAGCGTTACGTTTCAGATTAAAAGGGGTACTAAAAATCAAGAGTTCAAGCCTATCTCTGAATACATTGTAAGCTCAAGGCCAGTCCTTCTACCAAATTAACAGGAAAACAAATAATTTAAGAGAAAAAACCAATACAGAAAAATATAAAGTAGAAAGCCTGGAATCTAAAATAAAATCAGCCTTTAAAAGTTCACTTTATCCAGTATTTAAAACATTATGTAGACAGTCTAGCTTGCTCAAAGAACTCACAATGAGAGATATTAAGTATAACACATTGCTTAATTGTCTCCATGCAGTAATATCTTGTAGCTATACTTTAAACGTATGTCTAAGCGCATTAATTTGTGAGCAAATATCTACAGAAGAAAAGAAAACTGGATGAAAGGGAGCCTTAAATTTCCTGGGTTGACATTATTATCTGCTACACTGACTAAAATTATTAAATGTTTAGAACATGAAAATATGAGGAATAGTGTTATCAACTGTTTGCTCCAGCCTGTTTCTTCTATTCCTGGACGATGTGAAAACAATAAAAATAACAAACAAAAAATTCGAGTAAATATGTTGGGACCAATGTAGAGAAAATCAGAACACATGTAAGAATTCTGACCGAGTGGAGAAACATTGGATTTTGGAGGCTTAGGGAAGTCTGCAGGTCCCTGACAGTGCACATTTGAAGAGTTGCTACAACTCCTTGTTCTTCTCACTTTCATTTTCTGGTCATGAATTGAGCATCTTTATTCTCTTTTCTCAGCAGGATGTGCTACTTTGCCCAACAACCAAAAGCAATATACTGTGAACAGAACCCTCCAAAGAATGTGAGCCAAAATAAACCTTTTTATTTTATAGCTTAACCAAGCCAATGTATTTATTACAGTGATAGAGAGTTAACATAGAAGAGGAGTCGTCAGTGTAAAATCTGTGAGACTAACAAGGTAGAGAGCTAGGAAATCCCAAACATTTTAAGTGAAAAAAATGGAAGACATGGAAAAGGATAATGGATCATCTCAAAAACCACATGTTGGTAGCATAAGTTTCAAATACTGAAACTTATGAAACTGGATAGGAGTGTGGGCCTGTTATGAAGAAGTCACAGAACATTGTGTATGAAGGAACATAACAAAAATAGAGAGGATAGTTCAGAGTTACTCAAGAGAAATAAGGTTTAATGGGAACTTTATGGGGAAATGAAAGCATTTCACCATCAAATGCAACTTTCCCCTTTCTATGTCATTTCACTCCATTCTCCAGCAATCATCTCTAGCAATGGACATAATAATTTATATTAGTTTCAACTTCATGCTACTGACCAGACAACTACACAGAGCTAATTTATACACAAAAATAAATAGTTGGTCGCTATAGATATTGAAAGGAATTACAAATACAATTAAAAGTGATAAATTAGAGCATATGTCAGATAGGCATCATGAGTCAATCCTATCTCTGCATCAAGCTGTGATAAGTTTATTGATAATACCCATAATTCTTAAGTTATATGTGCTCAATCCAATTGATGCTTTAATTACTGATGATTAATGATGGGACGGTACATAGTTACAAAATTTTTGCCTACTTACCTGCTTTGGTTCAATAGCAGTGCTTTGGAAGCCATATTTTCAATGTGGTCTACAAAGAAAATTTGACAGCTTACCTACATACATGCAGAAGCAGACAGAAGTGTTTGCCACTTGTTATCAAACCACAAAGAATGATAAAGTGAACAAACTATCGAAATAAGTCACAAAGTGGTTAGGAAAGCACAAAAACAACTTCAGAAACAAGCTATGAAGGTTGAGGAAAAGAATATTGGGAAGTACATAAGATTCTGGAAAAGTCTATTTTATCTAGAGTCCTTGAAGTTCTTACATCAGAAAATGTCAGAGAGACTTTGCAAAACATCTCAACCCCCAGTGGCTTCAATCGTTCTACCAATAGCAGAGCCCACCTTGACATGAAATGATCTGAGAGGGAGAGGAATGTGTTCTTTAAGAACACAGGCTCCTGAAAAGCTTCTGTAAAGCAAAGGACACCGTCATCAAAACAAAAGGACTGCCTACGGATTGGGAAAGAATCTTCACTAACCCT